CATAAACTTAGTTGATAAAGCAGCAACAAGGCTCGAGAGGGTTAATTGCAATTTTGAAAGAAGTTCTGCTATGGTTAAAATGCCATCAAAGAGCATTGTGCTACAGAGAAGGCTTCCTTGAGAGGAAGAGTTAATTGATGTGGCAAATTTCATTGTTGTTTTAATTTTAGAAAATGCCACAACCACCCCGACCTTTAGCAACTACTACCCTAAGCAATCAGTAGCTATCAACATCGAAGCAAAACCCTTCACCAGAAAAAAGATTATGACTCACTGAAGGCTCAGATGATAGTTAGCATTTTTTAGCAATAAAGTATTTTTAAATTAAGGTACGTGCATTGTTTTTTAGACATAATGCACTTAATAGACTATAGTACAGTGTAAACATAACTTTTTTTTTTGAAACAGGATCTAACTCTGTTACCCAGGCTGGAGTGCAGTGGTGCAATCATAGCTCACTGCAGCTTCGAATTCCTGGGCTCAAGCGATCCTCCCACCTCAGCCTCCCAAGCAGCTGGGACTACAGGCATGCCACCACGCTTGCTCTTTTATTTTTTGTAGAGACAGGGGTCTCGCTTTGTTATCCAGACTGGCCTCGAATTCCCATCCTTAAGTGATCCTCATGCCTTGGCCTCCCACAGTGCTGGGATTACAGGTGTGAGCCGCCACGCCCGGCCTGTAAACATAACTTTTTTATATGCCCTGGGAAACCAAAAAATTTGTATGACTCGCTTTATTGCGATATTTGCTTTATTGCAGTGGTCTGGAACTGAACTCCCATATCTCTGTGGGTATGTCTGTATTAATTTCTCTCTATTGAAATACCCAGTGTGGTTTCTGTTTCCCCACCAGAACTCCAACAGACCCTGACATATCACTCACATATTCTAAGTTTTCTAAGTTATTTGAATAAAGTTGTTTATGGTAATCCCTTATTAAAATCTGTGCAATATCTGTTGTATGTTTTTTCATTCCTAATGCATGAGTTTATTTTTACTTTATTTTTGTCTATCTCTAGTAGTCTTTTTAAGTATAATTAACTATTTAGAATACTCTTTCATTTTCAACAATATAAGCTCCAATATAAGCTCTTTATAGCTATAAGTTTCTCCTAGGTAACTGTTTGCTACACGTTTGAGTGTAGTATTTTTATTCTTCTTCCAAGTCTCATCTTCTAATTTCCTTTGAGTTCTTCAAGTGTTTTTAAATTGTTCTTTTCATATTAATTGCTAAACTATTTGCATTGCGGTTTAATAACCTGATCAGTAGGCTTAAGTTCTCTTATGTTTGCTGAGAATTCCACTGTGGCTCTAGTAGTGCTGCGCACAGAATTCTCAAATCTGGGTGCACAGGACACTATGTACACCCACTCAATCAAGCTTAATAGCCTTGTTCACATTTTCCATAACCAAATCTTTTTGGTATCAACTTCTGAGAGTGATATGTTAAAATACCCTGCTATGATGATGCATTTGTCAGTTTTTCTTTATGATTCTCACTTTTTTTTGCTTTAAAACACTAGAATGGAAGAATATACCTATAAGGATGTTAATTGCAGCAGAGTATATTGGAAAAGCCTAAAAATAACACTTCTAAACGTCCTTAGTAATGAATTGGCTGAATTCATTGTATAACTTATGTAGCCGTCAAAAAGCATGAACTTGTTTGGTATCTAGTAATCCAGAAGATGGTACATGCTAAGTGAAAAAGGCAAGTTGCAGAGTATGTATGTTGCGATCCCATTTATAGTCAATGAAATAAGAACTCTTCTATTCATGAACATGTTTTAATACGTTTGAGTTTGGGAAAAGGCTAATGTCAGTTCCTCCAGGGAAGTGACTGGGGGGAGGAGGAAGGATAGCATAAACAAATATCTTTGTTTTATTTCACCTCCTACAATAACCATGTTTTACTTGGGCAAGTTAAGCTAAGCCTAGTAAGAAAGTGATGATGATTAGCACTCATCTTAGGAGGCCTGATTGATATGCCATGTGAGAAAGTCACAAAGGTTATAATCTGATCTTATTTATTATAGTGGCGTGTACACATTGATATGAATATAAGGTAGCATCTAGGAACACATACGCTGAAACAGTATTCTTAGATCCAAGGGGGAGGATTATGAAGCTTTTTTACTGCTACATATTTGTATTGTTTGTATTCATTTTATACACATATCATGTGAGCAAGACAATTTTTTTAAAGAATTAGAGGATGTAACTACAAAAAGGCTACAGACACTTTCACCAAAAACAACAAAAGCCCAGACGTATCTGCACAAAATGTTCCATACAATTCCAGGCAGTTGATAGACTCTCTCAAGCTCATTTATGGATCACCTAGGTTTCTGCTCCAGTAGCTACCAGGAGAGTTCGACGGTGGAAAAATTAGTTGACTGCCGAATTCTCCCACATATCCTCTGAGGTTGCAGGGGGCGATCATGGCACTGAAGAATGGCGGGACCCTCATCTGTACCAAGGACTCCGACCTTGCCCAGATGAGGTACCACTTAAACTCTTCCTGTTTATGAGTATCTACCTGTGTAAGGTATGAGGGGTAAGGTGCTGGCCTTGATACTAAACCATCTAAGTCATTAATTCTGAAAAAGGGAGGAGGAGATAGGGGCTGGGAGTATGGTTTGTAAACACACCCTCAACGTTATAATGTAAACTTGATGGTGAACGAGAACTGTTTTCATAATACAGATTTGTCTGGGGGCAGGGAGAGGGGTATATGCCAAACAGAATTGAGCTCCAGAGAGGTGAGAGAAGTAGCTGGGAAGGCAGGCAGATTATCCTCCTTTGAGACATGCTTAGGAATTTCAACTTTATCCCAAAGGCAAATGGAGAATTACTTAAAGGCTTCAAGTTGGGAAGACACACCATTTAAGTCTTTTTAGGATTACTTTGGATGCATGGTGGAGAAGGGATTAAGGGGAACAAGACAGGAAGTTGGCATCTTAGTTAAGAGGCTGTTGCAGTAACTCAGCGCAAGAGATAATGGTTCTTGAGCAATGGATAACAGCAGTAGGAGGAGGAATGAGTCAGTGGTTTGGAGAAAGAGATATTCTAGAGGTAGAGTAACACTTGGACTCCATTCTGGGGTGGGGGAGCCAAAGATGCTCCAGTTAGATTCCCTGGTTTCTGGCTTGGGCAACTGGAAGAGGTACCATATTGAGGTATGGAATGCTGGAAATTCACTGGGGAATGTGGAAGGGATGAAACTAGTAATCTTACATACATACTATTTTTCTTTCCTTGACTCCTGGACTGACAGAAGGCCCAGAAATGGATTCCAACCCACTTCCACATCTCCTGCCATGTCTTTCTGAGAACAGGGACTGCTCCTGCTTCACTCTCCCTCTGGCCTGTCCACCCTTTCCTCAGCTGCCGTGAGCCTCTTAGCCTTCCTCTCCCTCTTCCTCATCAGCAGGGCCGGAGCAGACAATACATGTAGGAGAAAGTCACAGTGAAAAAAGTTATTATCAGCCTGCGGGTAGAATTTAATAACGACCAAACAAGACACATATTAATAATTGATATATATCTTTTTATTATGCACAGAATAAGGACTTAAAACTGTGGTTATCAAAACTATACATTTAAGCATGTTCACAAAACAGCCGACACATTGAACAGAGAAAAGAATACAACAGGGGTGCTCAAACTGGCCACAGGAATTTTAAGGGTACTCTTTTTACCCTCATTGATGATGAAAAACAGCAACAAAATCAGGCTCATTCAGGAAAAAAACCAGAAGAGAGAAGTATTGTATTCGGAAACTGATAATAGTCCTTTTTAGAAAAACATCTGTCAGTTTCATGAACAACCCCCAGATTAAACAAACAGGAAAAAAAATCACATACAGGACTCACCCAACAAAATGTGCTCTGTTAACAGAACCAGCAGTACGATCATCATTCAAACCATGAGGTAGTTACAGTACAAAAAGACTGGCACGCATGTGTGCACTCCACACACACTCGCAATCACGCCTGCTAGGGACACGTGCAGGAAATGGGTTTACAATCTTATTACGAGACAAGGAAAAGACTATTTTTTTGTTGTTTAGAAAATGCTATAGAAACAGTTTAGACAGAAGAAATCTCTGGCTTTTTAAAATACAGAGTAACAGCTGGTAAACACCACATGGTGAAAGGCTATAGCTTATTACACAGACAATCTGCCTTGGAGTTTAAAGCATTTCAAACACAGCTTTATTATCAAACAAATAAAACAAAATGGCCTCTGCAAGTTAAGGGTGTAGCCTGCAGAAATAACAAAAGACTATGCAGATAGATGAGTTCAACTGAAATATAACAATATTTTTAAAGAAACTTACAGAACATGTTATAAAAGTAGAGCTTGTACTTTGCATTAAAACTGTGAAGTATGAAGTAATCAGAAATGCTGCAACTAGAAGCTAGGGAGAAAACACCCTATTTTTTAATATTCTGTTTTAAGAAATATTTCAGGAATACATTCACTCTTCAATATGGGATCAGGTTTCATTAACTTGGATTTCTTGATCTGAATAATACTTCTGACAATGAGATCCAAACAAATAAAAGGTCATTTTTTTCTCTCTTTTAAAGAAATCTTTTGGTTTGCATCTATAAATGTGTAATTTTTAAATTATTTATAAAATCATTGGCAATGTAGCATCTCTCTTAAAAATATACATTTAAATATATTACAGAAGGTTTTAACTCTGCCCATCTAAGAAATGGATCTTTTAATACCTCCTAATAGCTAATTTTCTTTTTAACAAGATGGAAAGGGTTTTTAAAAAAGCAAAAGACTGATCAAAAGAATTCACAGTAGCTGAAATTAAACATTTCTTATGGAGTAACTTAAATTTATCTAAAACACTTAAATATATCTTTATACACAAATTTTTGTAGTAAAATATAGCTATAAGTGACTTAAAGACTCTAGTCTTCTTTGAAGACATCTTTAAACTTTTTTATACATAGAATATGCTAAAACAATACATTCTGCTGAAGGTTAGGCAAAGCGCATAATTTTTAAACACAGGTAGCGTAATCTATGTCCTCCATTCTGATACCCTTACATTAAAAAAAAATTAAGTAAAGGAAAAAAAATTTCTAACCTCATGTCTTCTTTATTCATATGTGGATATCTGAAAAATTTTCAATATATCAATGTGGAGAGACTGAAAATCTCAGCCCTACAGTAATCTTTTTTGGTTAAAATTATCCCCATTAAATGTCTACATCTATCAAATCAATCAGATTGGGAAATAATGATTGTCATTCCCCCCTTACTTGTTTGCTGTGTAGACACTACCTTAAGGTTTTGAGTTTCATCAACATTTCCTACTTGAGGTTCCATTCACAGAGAACCAGGCACAACTTCCTTATTTTAAGGGGAGTGAGACTTGCTTATGAATATTTTGGAGCAGAATCTAATCTGTTCTACTTATGAAATTCTAAGTAATTTGGGGGGAATTTTGGGAAAAGAAAACTAAATAAATTACAATGAAGCTATCTTTAGCAATAAATGATTTGGCATGGAAGTTTCCCTCACATTCTTTTTTAACATAGCGGTATCACTGAGCTTATTTTAGCTGCAAAGTGGCATCATATTATTCCATTTAATGAAATTCACCTCAAATCTTTTTTGAGTTTGGGATATATTTAAGGCAAGAGAACTAAAGCGATCCAAATGAGTGCCCTTTTCCATAGCTCAGCACTGTCTTGGCAGAACTGATGACACTATTCAGATAACCAACCGGAATCCAACATAACCTGCAATGCATTTGTGTCTCACAAGAGTTTGGTTTTTACAAAAGGGCCTATTTTTAAAAATATTGACATGTTTTGAGTAGAAACATTCACCTTACCAAATATATTTAAGAATAAGTTGCAACTCTGAAAACAGGACATTTTCAAAAGGGGAATGAATTTCCTCTTCTTCAACTGAGAAAACGAATGTGCCAGATGACATATTATATATTTGTACTTACACATACAAATATATCACTGTGCAAATTCCTCCTTGACTTGACAACAGAATTTTGCCTCGATTTATACATTAATTTATCAGAACAAAATGTCAGAAATAGGCACAAACCTGTGGTTCCAGATTTTGGCCATTTTCAATTTCTATATGCCTGTAAGAAATATAAAATTTGCATGAAGACATTTTTGCAGTCTGTGTGTGGGAGTATGGGAATAAACAGGAAGCTGACAAGGTCATCAGCATTGGTTTTGGCCCAGGGCACAAGAAAGGAATGTTGCCTTGATGCAGTCCCCGAGGGCAGCACCCATGGAGACGAGTCAGCCCTGCAGGGTGTGGCAGCAAGATCAGAAGTGCGCATCCCACGAAGGTGCGTGTTAGACGTGGAGGAACGCTTACAAAGCCTTGAAGCATTTCTTTTGTTTTACATCTTGGTTCAGATATAAAAGAATCTTTGGCCACGTCTCCTCACTGGTTCATTCTACTATCTGGCTGTTATCCTTTTACAAACTCCTTGAGTCTGGGTAAAACTCAGGGCCCCAAATTATGGATGTTCTCAACTGGACAAAGCAGCATTTTAAAAACTGGCACGTGTTTCACATTGAAAACCCCAGGCCTGTGAGGGCTGGTGGAGAAGGCCACCCCCTTAGCTTTCTCACATGGATTCGACATTAGCCCTGGGCGGGGGGTGAATACAACGGGTGATCTTTATACTGAAATGCACTCTTTCTTTACAAGGGAGCCGAATCCCAGCCTTCCGAGTTGGAGGCTCAGTGGCTGGCCGGGCTAGGCCGCGCTGCTGCTGGAGCACGGCGTGCTCTGGGTGCTGCCGATGCTGTGGGCCGCGCTGCTGTTTTCTGAGGCCGGCGGGGACGTGGGGACTTGCTGCCTTCCTGCTGTCTCCCCTGCAGTTAAGAACAAGAAGGAGGGGCAAAGAAAGACTTCTGTTACACATGTGCATTCCCCAAAAGAACACTTCTCCTGCCTTTGCCATTTTGTCTGATGTTTTTCTCAACCACAGGCAGAAGCAGCTAGACCAGGTCCTGGATGGCTGGAAGACCTTATACTATAAGGTTTTTCTGTAGCTGTTTTGTTTTTAAAATATTCTGCATGGGAAAATGAGAACAGCTTTCTAGTTGACTGACAGGCACTTAGAGTGGCTAAGACCCCTGACAGTTGACGACAAAGTCCCTGGATTTCAAGGCCGACCACATTTGAAGAAACCACCATCTGGACTGTGAGAGCCAACTGACCAGCACCTGTATTCAGGAAACGCTGCCCATCTTCTCTCATGAAGACACTGTAGGCCTTGGAGGGTGAGGCCTTTACAATGTAATAAGAGAGAACCTCGGCAGTTTGGGGGCCTTTTTCTGAACATACTTGTTAAAAACTGGGGTGAAGTTTTTTGTCCTAGCTACAGCAGAGAGAGCTTTGTGTGCCAAGCGAATAACCTACCTGAGAAATGGGGGTGGGAGGAGGCTACCACCAGAAAAACCTTCTGGGGAAGGGATTTGGCTGTTTGCACATGGGGACTGCAGTTGCCAGCAAACAGTCCCGCTTCCACCCGAGGTTCGCTGTGTGGCGCAGCGTGAGTATCTCCTAACACTTTAAGCATCCCACTTTTCATTACATACCCCACTGCATTTTACTAAACCCATCCTTCGTGCCAAATGCACAGTGCTTCGGAGAGGGAGGAAACCTCGGGTCACACACATGGTTTGCATTTAACAGTTCAAAAAGCCCTAGAGTTAGTCTTCTCTTTAGCAAAACTGGCCTCAGTGCAACCCTCAAAAAATGGCTCTAGGTAGGGAAAAGTGATCAGGACTCTCCGATGCAAAACATTTCATTTTCTGCATTTTCTTTGAAAAATCAGAGCATAAACTTCATAAACTTCTTGTAAGCAGTCTCCCCCCTCCAATGTGGGAAGCCCCAGAGGGCCAGGTCTGTTTATGAACGAGCCTCCTCTTTCCTGTCATGCTGAAATACACATCTATCAGCCTGAGATAAGCAACCTCCCGGCTGCTTCATTAAAACAAAACACTGAAGCAAAGGCTCTGCCTCCAAGTACAGGAACTCACCCCGTTGCTAACAGTCCCTTTCTGGGGCCCCTCAAAAGCCTCTGCCAAAAAAACAGTTCTGCAAAATATAGAACTGGCTCATGCCCCCGGGGCCGGTTACGGCTCTCCCTGCCACCCATTTCATGAACCACACAGCTATGCACACTTTGCATCAACCTTGGAGCATCTATATGCCTGTTGTATATTTGGCCCTTGTTGTATTTCCTCTAATTATCTTTTCTTCTGGGATTGGTGGGAAGGAAAGGGGGCAGGGGTCAATATTCCTGAGAAGCAGAGAAATACCATATTTTTACTCTTTCCTTTTGGAAATCTATTATTTTGGACCCTCCCTTCATGTGTTTATGTTATTAAGAATAGAGAATTTGCCTCAATGTCAGTAACTTTCTGACAAAAATTTGCTTTCCCTATAGTGGGCACTTTATTTCTAGAAGGCAATCAAATCTCTTAACTATTCTGCTATAAAAAACCAACAAGGAAACAAACAAAAAAACCCAAACAAAACAAAAAACACCTCCAGAGACCTGAACAACTCTAGATGTACTTTAAAAATTCAGTCCCCTTACAACCCACACGTTGATACACACCCAGCTGGGTCCTTGTGCTGTCGATTAGAAAGACTGATGTGGCTATACATGGCCAACATCTAAGAAATATCTTCTCCCATTTAAATAAAGGATACATCAGAGAAGCAGGCAGTAACTCAATCCTCTCTCCCTTTTTTGGCTGACCTGGGCTTCATGTGCTCGGCCTGACAACACCTAAAGCAAGATGGCCTTGTCTCATCTAGCGACAGTGAACAAGTTCGTCTTCTCCAGAATTTGACACGTGCTTGATTGTTCACATTCAGGAAAACTGCCCAGTACTCTGCCCTGCCCAGGAAGCCTGAATATTTGCTTTCCGATGTCTATTTGCCAAATATAATTTGTTGCCATGTCAGTTTATTTCAATCAGTGCCCATTAAAAAGGCCTTTCAACTTCCTGAGTTTTGGAAACTCTTGTCCTGGTAATACAAAACACTGTTCAAAATAAAACCCCAAACAAAACAAAGCAAAGAAGCCCCCGTACACTCTAGACTGCAGGATGCATTTCACCAATGGGGACGAGTCAAGTTAACCTAATATTCTATTGACTTGGATCCAATAATGTGCCAAAGAGAATCTGCTGGGAAATACTGAAAAATCTCCTCTTTAGACTATCCCTTCTACCTCTGTGGCTATTTTCACATGTAAGACACAAGATCTCTTGATATAATGAAATTTTTAAAAACTTTTACCTTTTGACAAAATTAAGAAAGTTTTTTTGTTGTCAGATAGAAGTGACACTATTGAAAAATTCACCATGAGGAAGAAAGTTTAATGTGAAGATGCTTCTGCTTAAAGGGCCAACAGTCCCCTGGGTTTTCAGAGATGGGTCCTTCAGCTTTCTGCTCTCCATCGCAATGACCTCTGATTTCTTGGAGCACCAGCTTTCTCTAAAATATCCCTTCAGTGACAAGCAGAACCAGGCTACTTCTGGAGGAGATGGGCAGGGAGGACCTCTTGGCTAAGCAGAGAAGGCCCAGGCAACAAATGTAAGAAGTTCAAGGAAGGCTCCTTGCTCATACCTATCAAACTTGGCCATCAGAGGAAATGCATTCAGCCTTCATGCTCTGCTCCTAAAATCTCAAACCACATTGAGTGAAGAGGGAGTTGGGGAGGAGGGAGAGTGAGTAGGCAAAGAGGCATTTGGTGCCTGGAGTACTCTGGAGCAGGAGGGTATGTGGAGGATAAGGACACCGAGGACTAATTTCACCCATCTCCTATATGAGCTGTAGCTGAGCCTAGATTTTGCCAGAAATGCTATAAGAAACAGAAAAACAAAGCCAGGTGTGGTTGCCTTTAGTCCCAGCTACTGGGGAGGCTAAGGCAGGAGGATCGCTTGAGCTCAGGAGCTTGAGGCTGCTGTGAGCTATTGTCGCAACTGTGAATAGCCACAGCACTCCAGGCTGGGCAACATAGTGAGACCCTGCTTTGAAAAAAGAAAAAAATAAATAAACAGAAAAACATATTTCTTAAGGGAGAATCTCTTTCATTTCTTTAGGTTAGCATAGAGTTGTCCAGATCTGATTTTCTGCCACCTCTTTGGCATCTACTTTACAACTGGATTCTTATCTCTAAGTCTTTTACCATGGCAGGTCCTGGGGAAGAGACTGTCTAAGGCAGCTGTAAATAACATGGAAAGGCTTTAAACAGAAGAGTTTAAAGGAAAGGTGAGAGGAATCTTGATTATTTAGCCCAAAGGAGACTATTTGCAAACACTGCCCTTGAAGATTACTACAGGGAGGGGCAGACAGCTGTTCTCTATCTCCCTGGGGGCAGAACATGAGGAAATTAGTTTAAATGGCAGGAATAGGGATTTAGGTCCATAGAAAAGAACTTGCTGATTATGAGGATTGGTTAGTTACAGAGGGAATTTATGGAATTTCTTCCTCAGGAGATATTTAAGCATAGGATTGAAAACCATATGCCTGGGGGTGATTTAGATTTAATAATCTTTGATGCTGGAAAGAAAACAAAGATATTTTCCTCAGGCCCATGTGTTATTTGTGATTTTGTAACAATCAATGTCTTGGTTTATTGTAATTAATTCACATACTCACTCCTTAAGGAGAGTGAACTCGACTACCTTTAGTTTAGAAAAGGCTTCAATTCCTTTTTTCAAAAGTCATTCGTCTCCACTTTCCAAGCTAAAGGATCTTCCTTTTGCAAGCAAAACTCTCCAGGGTTAGATGTTGTTATAAGTTATGGGGAAAAGGAACAATGTTCCAAGGCATGACTCTTTCAAAATATCCCACCTACTACTTTCTTTCTATATTCCCACAGTATGGCCAACCTGCTTGCACTTGCACTTTGGCTTTCTGCAGATATCTTACTTGCTTTGTGGTCCCGGAACAGCATGCACTCAAAGTCTGATAATAATTAAGAAGGGGAGGAGCCACATATATCTTTACAACCCCTAGGTGTGGACTGTAGTCAGAAATTGGACTGGGAACTCTAGTTTGTTCAACTACTAGTCTTATTACCTGAGTAGGTGTATCAACCGCATTTCCTTCTAATAAACAGAGACAATCCCTACTTCACAGGATTATTAAGGGTAAGAGTGCTTAGAATAAGAAATGTACATGAAAAGCTTTTTGAACTCCAAAGTCCTACAAAAATGTAAGATATTTAAGGCTGCTCTGATGCGTAAGTAGGACCAAAAAAATCTAACAGCGGCAGGAACACTATGTTTCACACAGCAAAATAAAATGTGTTCCTGTTCCAGCAAAATAAAATGCTGAGGTTTTGAATGAGGCGCGTCTGTCCCAATCCCTCGGGCTTCTACTCAGCAATCCTCAGCGGAACACACCAGGTGTTCTTAAAGCAGAAGTCAAGCACATACCCCAAAGTCCACCTGAGTCAGATAACAGCTTTTAATTAGGAGCATCTCTGGAGGCTCCAGTGTTTTTAGAGGTCTGAGGTTTCTCCAAGGTCCCAAGCCTAGCCCAGGTGAAAAGAGAGACAGAAGATAGGCTAAGGTGTGGTAATATAGAACGCAAGACACCGAGTCCCAAGAATCAGAAAGATGCAGCTGGAATAGATGGGAACAGAGTCTCACTCTGTTGCCCAGGCTAGAGTGGAGTGGCATCAGCCTAGCTCACAGCAACCTCAAACTCCTGGGCTCAAGCAATCCTCCTGCCTCAGCCTCCCAGGTAGCTGGGACTACAGGCATGTCCACCATGCCCAGCTAATTTTTTCTATATATTTTTAGCTGTCCAGCTAATTTCTTTCTATTTTTTTAGTAGAGAC